CTAGCAGAGAAAGGCGCACGAGGGCGCACGAGGGCGCACGAGGGCGCACGAGGGCGCACGAAGGCGCACTAGCAGAGAAAGGCGCACGAGGGCGCACGTAAGGTAGGGCGCACGAGGGCGCTTCTAGCGGAATAGTGGGCCCATAGTAGAAAGCGGTCCTAGGTAGCAACCTAGGCTCGTGATACCATGTTAGAATCCAGAATAGAACGAGAATGAATGAAACTAGGTAGGAGGGGGATACAAGTAGGAAACCCTAACAAAGCTGTACCCCCTAAGGCTAAACCCACTATAGCCTACACAATATGAACATATAATGTTTGACAGTAGTTGCTCCAGGGTGGTAGTACTGATTGTAGTTGTTGCCTCCGATGTTGCAGCACGGCTGGCTCGAGCTTCAACCGTTGTATTTGTCTGGCCTTCTGATCCTCCGGCCATCCTGACACGTGAGCGTGTGTTGGTACTTTCGGTTCGTGTGAACTTTCGGGGTGGGGATGCGAAGAATCCCTTAGTCACTCTCATACCATGTTACAATCCCACGAGAGACACTGCCAGAATCGTGCTCAGGGTTGATCGCAGAGTAGTATGCAGCGGAAGTAAATAATGACAGCTGTCAGAGTGAATGTAAATGACAGAAGTGGCTATAACAGACAAATACAAAGGTTTATATAAGATTACAAGGAATGCGAAACGTCCTAGCTAGCCATGTACTCTAAGGGGTACATTTCTTTATTACATCGAAACTTATCCGTGCGGCGCGGGAACCCGTTTCAAACCTGTTCCCGCCATTTTTCATTCAAATGCATCTGCCTACATCGGTCTTCATCCGACAACTGTCCTCGACCCTTCGGTTCTTTGAACTCTTCATCTTCGTACTCGGTAGTGCTGGCATATGTTACTTTCAAGAATGTACCAAGTGTATTTCCTTATCGTAACATATCTCACGGCCAGTTACCGTAATATCTCGTCTAAAAGCCCCGGGATTCTTATAAAAAAATCTGGCAAAATGGCTAGGATGGACAATAGTGATGGCACAATTGTATAAGACCCCTAGACACTTACATTTGACGTTAATGTTCAATATTTACCACACACTACTAAATTTGTAACAACAACGGGACGTTTTTTTCATTCCCTCACAACGCGGATTCCTATCCGCCCATTCACGAACTTCGACTTCGCCCACACGTCAGAATGCTGCCGCATGTGGGCGGCTGAAATTGCACGGCTGGCGTGGCGCCATGCCTCTTGACTGCCACCACATCTGGGCACTTGGGCTTGAACGTGCCTTGGGGCACGGTCGAGACCCATCACGTGCCTCCCCACCACCGTGACAGGGTTTGCGGTGCGCAAACCCTATCCACCCCTTGTGCACGTCTCCTCCTCCTCCGTTTCGAGAGGGGGTAGTCAGGGAGCCGAGCTTCATTTTCAGTTTTTCCTCGCGAGTTTAAAATGAAGCCACCGCGATGGCTTCCATCCCTCTCACACCTCTGTTAGCTAGGGAGCCATGTCGGCTCTCGACATGTTAATGAAGATGCAGGCAGTTAGTGCTGCTCGCGCTATGGCGTTGATGGCGAACGGTCCCCCAGTCCCACCTGCACCGCCGGCGCCTCCTGCACCTCCTGCACCTCCTACTCCACCTGCCCCGCTGTCTCCTCCCTCACCTCCTGCCCCACCGTCGCCTCCGGTTCCAGATCCCCCGTTCCCATACCTCTTCGAGCCTGTGAGTGTCGAAGGCGACTTTGTGGTGCTGTCCGACAACGATGTCGACCACACCGAACCTCAAGCGATTGACGAGGAAGGTCCTGAAGTTGTTGAAGCAGTAGCATATCCCTTGCCCGTTTTTTTCCGCTGATGTCCTGCGTGATGCCACTAACGCCGAAGTCCAGGCCCGTGATGCGCAGCCCCCTGAAACTCGAACAAGGACGAACCAGCACAAACGGCACTCGCGCACCATGGAGGAGAAGAAATCATGGCTCACCCGGATGCGCGACGAGCAGCTCTCGGTGCGCGCCACCGCACGACTTGCCGGCGTGAAGCCCGTCAGCATCCGCCGTTGGAAGAAGGCGGCAGCAGAGATTGAAGGGGCAACATCATGCAGGAAGCGGCTTGTCGGAGGCGGGCGACTGGCGAAGTGCCCGGACATGGAGCAGTCCGTGTACAACCAGTTATTGTCGTACCGTGCTCGCGGGTTGGCGGTCCCCATCAAACTTCTGAAGATGTGGAGTCGCACGGCGATGAAGAACCGCCACCCACAGGTGGACTGGCGCGCCTCTCCCCATTGGACCAGCGCTTACGAGCACGGTGGGGTCTCACCATGAGGGTAAAGACGAAGATTGGACAGCGCCTAACCAAAGGTGCGTTGTTTAAGTATTGATGTCGTGATTCGGGATACCGTAGCCTTCCGCGCCATTGCGCCCATCCCTTTGTTATGTGTCGTTCCCAACAAGCACGTCCTAACTGGTTTTTTTTTATTATTTCTCGTTGTGGCCCGCAGATTGCAAGTCCAAAAGCGAGAGCTTCTGGAAATTCTGTCGCAAGCAGCTGGTCGAACACGGAATCGACCCATGGAACATCGTGAACGCTGACCAGACACCAGTATTTCTGGAAATGCCCCATGAGCGGACGCTTCACCTGTCAGTAGAGCTGCACTGTGAGATCCCCGATCGATCCTAGGGGGGGTTACAGGCGCGTTTGCCTGGGGGGTTATGGGCGCACTGACCCGCTACTGAAACAAGCCCTTTTATCCCAGTGGTCTAGTGGTTGGGATTCTGACATGGTATCAGAGCGGTCTCGGGTTCGAATCCCGGTGTATGCACATGTAGGCCGTTGCCACTGTGCTCAGTCCTGGGCCTCCCAGTGTGGGGGGGTGTCAGTAGAGCTGCACTGTGAGATCCCCGATCGATCCTAGGGGGGGTTACAGGCGCGTTTGCCTGGGGGGTTATGGGCGCACTGACCCGCTACTAAAACAAGCCCTTTTATCCCAGTGGTCTAGTGGTTGGGATTCTGACATCACCACCGTGGCGAGAGGACCGTCCAGATCCGCACTGCGGGCTACGAGAAGGAGAGGATGACAGTCATGCTGGGCGTCACAGCAGATGGGCGGAAGCTTCCGGCCATGGTGATTTTCAAACGGAAAGCTATACCCAACATTCGCGTGCCTCCAGGTGACGTTGTTGTACCTAGATGTGCGGCAGTTGTTCTGGTTTCGTGTACACCCATAGTCTCTTTATCTAAACGTTATTGCTTCTTGTTTCCTTGCATACAGGCATGCTCATCCGAATCAAAGAACGAGGGTGGATGGACGCCCCTTTCGTCATGGACTGGGTGCAGCACGTACTCTTGCCCTTTCCCCGCGGGAAGTCGCTGCTGGTGCTCGACTCGTACCACGGCCATCTCACTGAGGCGGTGCTTGGGTCCCTGCGCTGGCAGAACATCGTCCCCACGATCATCCCAGGCGGATTCACGCCCTTGTTGCAGCCTCTCGATGTCAGCGTCAACATGTCCTTCAAGGCGAGGGTCCGCCAGGAGTACAATGCATGGTTTTCAGAGACCGGCATCAACTCATTCCCCCCTGCATGTACTGCTTTTTTAACCTCCCAGCGCGCTCTTGCCCAGACAACGTGCTTACACATTTTTTTCCTTGTGCAGGCAACCTCAGGAAGCCACCTGCAGAGGTGGTCCTGCGCTGGATCGCGACCGCATGGGATGCAGTGCCTGAAGACGTGATCGTGCGCGCCTTCAAGACCACTGACATCAGCAATACGCCGAATGGGCGCGGGGATCGCCTGATCCTCGCGCACATGAGAGACGATGCGCAGGTCGAGGTGCACGATGACGTCCACGCAGCGGGAGATGTGGAAGAGTGGGTGAACCCACTCTATGCTTCCGGCCCCCTGGAGGAGGAGGATGAGGAGGCTGATGATGAGGAGGAGGAGTAGATTCTGCTGAGGAGGAGGAGGTGGAGAGCCTGGAGGATGTTGAGGGAGTGTTAAAGGTGTAGTAAGGGGTTGAGTAGTCTAGCTAATGCATCTGGCAGTACCGGTAGGCTGAATCTAACTGGGAGATGTGTAGCTAGGTTTTTAACAATGTGACATGCATAACCAGTTTACACAAAGATTTTTAGTGTTGAAGTTCTACATTTTGCAGAAAGGGGAAGGGTCTTATAACGAGTAATTCAAACAGACGGGTCCTCACGAGGACTTCCAAAATATAAGACCCTGTACCCGCATAAAAGCCCCACGGGTCTTAAATGAGGGGGGGGGGGGCTTTTCAACGGGATATTACGGTATGAGCTTGAATTTACCGTATTAGTATAAAATGGAACGAATTCTGTTTGATTTCCTAAAGGCTTCCGAAAAAGAATCAACCAGACAACAAAGCCAGACGAAGCAGACAACTAGGAAACGGACATGTGGCCCTAATTTCTATTTTTGTGTAATGTAATATAGAAAATGATAAATCCTTCTCCCGTCCCGACAAAACTAATGTAATATTAGATAATGTGTTATCATGCAAATAGTTTTGGATATTGTTCAAAAATAAAAAGATTAGAAGGACACTGACAGGCCTTAGATGGTTATCATTTTGTGAATTAGAAACAATGCACAGATTCAGAATGCATGAGAGAGAGCTGTACAGTATCATGCATCCCACTCAAGGAGGCATAATCTCCTGTCAACCACCAGAACCAGGTCAGCACCTCGCTCAACGTGTACTTATTACTGGAAGCCTACCAAACCCTCCATCTAGACTGGCGAGGAGCTGTATCACCCTTCCTAATTCCTCCCGTTCCAGTGGCTACCCACTTCTTCGTTAAGATCGGAAAAAAACAAAATATTAGGAGGGCTGCAGCAATGATGGGTCGCGGTGCGCTTTTCGCGCTGGCGACGCTCTTGGTGATAATTCTAGCCGCGGCGCCGCGTCTATCGTTCGCGATGCGACTCACGATTCACTCGGGAGATCGCGAGTGCATATGGCTGTCCACCGAGTCCGACCACGGCATGCTCACCGGCAGCGTCGTGGTGTTCGACCACCATGGATCATTCCGCGACTACGCCGCTCGCTTGGACGTCACCGTAAGTCAAAAGTCATGTTTTGAGACGTCTCAATAGACCATGAAGGATCTTTCCGTGACTGCGCCGCTCGGTTGGACGTCACGTCACCGTGAGTCTGAAGCGCCGTGAATGTTGACGTGAAAAGCTCGTACCTTTTGCTTTTGGTTCGTGCGACCAGTTTTTGTTGTTGTTGATTTTTTTAAGCAATAATCAGTTTTGGAGTCGCGCTTCCTTATTTTGCGGTGCCGCCACCCTCCCTCGATACTCCTCTCTCCTGCTTCGCCATCACAACTCGTTATTCGTTCTATCCCCGACAGCCTGTCGTTGCTGCTGCTGTGAACGAATTATCCTCGTCTTTCGCATACTCCCTCCCCATCCCCTCCCCCCGTTCTCCTCTCCCCCACTCATCCAATACCCCCGCCCCCCCCCCTCCCCCCCCCCACCCCCCCCCCCCTTCTTTCCTCCCTTTCTCTCATAAGCGCCCCACCCGTGCCACCCCAATTTCTCTCCCTTCCCCCCCCCTTCCCCCCACCCCCCCCCCCCCCCCCAACACCCTTTCTCCCCTTCCCCATTCCCCATTCCCCCCCGCATCTTCCCGCCTCAGATCAAGGACCCGCGCGGCATCGAGGTGTACACGGCGCGCGGGCGCAGTGAGGCGCAGTTCGACCTGCGCGTGGAGCGCGGGGGGCAGTTCGAGCTGTGCCTGAAGAACCACGGGCACGCGCCCGAGTTCGTCGACGTGGTCGCGGAGTTCGAGGACGCCGCCACGTGGAAGCCGCGCAGCGCCGCCGCCGTCACGGGCACGCCGCCCGGCACGAGTGGCGCCCCGAACAAGGACGAGCTCGCGACGGATGGTGAGCGAGCGGCTGTCGCCGGCAGGGAGATGAAGGGGAGATGGCGGGAGGGAGAGGAGGATGGGCAGGGGGAGAGGGAGGGAGACGTTTTGGGGAGGTTGTTGTTGGCAGGTTGAAGGGATGTTTGTGCGGGGAGGTGTGCAGGGGGGAAGGGGAAGGGGGTTGCGGTGGACAAAGGGGGGGGGGGGGGCAGTAGTGGATGTTGGGTGGGGGGGGTGCATTATTGGGGTGTATATATGCTAATTACGGTCGAGAATTTTCAAAATCGACTCGCAAAAAAGTTGTATTGTATTCACCATGGAACTCCCATCTGCTCCCACCCCACTCCCCTCTCTGGCCCCCTCGGTCCCTTCTCCCCCCACAACCTCGCCCTCCCTCCCTCCCTCCCTCCCTCCCTCCCTCCCTCCCTCCCTCCCTCCCTCCCTCCCTCCCTCCCTCCCTCCCTCCCTCCCTCCCTCGCTCCCTCCCTCGCTCCCTCCCCCTCCCTCCCTCCCTCCCTCCCTCCCTCCCTCCCTCCCTCCCTCCCTCCCTCCCTCCCCTCCTCCCTCCCTCCCTCCCTCCCTCCTCCCTCCCTCCCTCCCTCCTCCCTCCCTCCCTCCCTCGCTCCCTCCCTCCCTCCCTCCCTCCCTCCCTCCCTCGCTCCCTCCCTCCCTCCCTCGCTCCCTCCCTCCCTCCCTCGCTCCTCCCTCCCTCCCTCCCTCCCTCCCTCCCTCCTCCCTCCCTCCCTCCCTCCCTCCCTCCCTCCCTCCCTCGCTCCCTCCCTCCTCCCTCCCTCCCTCCCTCCCTCCCTCCCTCCCTCCCTCCCTCCCTCCCTCCCTCCCTCCCTCCCTCCCTCCCTCCCTCCCTCCCTCCCTCCCTCCCTCCCTCCCTCCCCTCCCTCCCTCCTCCCTCCCTCCCTCCCTCCCTCCCTCCCTCCCTCCTCCCTCCCTCCATCCCTCCCTCCCTCCCTCCCTCCCTCCCTCCTCGCTCCCTCCCTCCCTCCCTCCCTCCCTCCCTCCCTCCCTCCCTCCCTCCCTCCCTCCTCCTCCCTCCCTCCCTCCCTCCCTCCCTCCCTCCCTCCCTCCCTCCCTCCCTCCTCCCTCCCTCCCTCCCTCCCTCCCTCCCTCGCTCCCTCCCTCCCTCCCTCCCTCGCTCCCTCCCTCCCTCCCTCCTCCCTCCCTCCCTCCCTCGCTCCCTCCTCCCTCCCTCCCTCCCTCCCTCCTCCCTCCTCCCTCCCTCCCTCCCTCCCTCCCTCCCTCCCTCCCTCCCTCCCTCCCTCCCTCCCTCCCTCCCTCCCTCCCTCCCTCCCTCCCTCCCTCCTCCCTCCCTCCCTCCCTCCCTCCCTCCCTCCTCCCTCCCTCCTCCCTCCCTCCCTCCCTCCCTCCTCCCTCCCTCCCTCCCTCCCTCCCTCCCTCCCTCCCTCCCTCCCTCGCTCCCTCCCTCCCTCCCTCCTCCCTCCCTCCTCCCTCCCTCCCTCCCTCCCTCCCTCCCTCCCTCCCTCCTCCCTCCCTCCCTCCCTCCCTCCCTCCTCCCTCCCTCCCTCCCTCCCTCCCTCCCTCCCTCCCTCCCTCCCTCCCTCCCTCCCTCCCTCCCTCCCTCCCTCCCTCCCTCCCTCCCTCGCTCCCTCCCTCCCTCCCTCCCTCCCTCCCTCCCTCCCTCCCTCCCTCCCTCCCTCCCTCGCTCCCTCCCTCCCTCCCTCCTCCTCCCTCCCTCCCTCCCTCCCTCCCTCCCTCCCTCCTCCCTCCCTCCCTCCCTCGCTCCCTCCCTCCCTCCCTCCCTCCCTCCCTCCCTCCCTCCCTCCCTCCCTCCCTCCCTCCCTCCCTCCCTCCCTCCCTCCCTCCCTCCCTCCCTCCCTCCCTCCCTCCCTCCCTCCCTCCCTCCCTCCCTCCTCCCTCCCTCCCTCCCTCCCTCCCTCCCTCCCTCGCTCCCTCCCTCCCTCCCTCCCTCCCTCCCTCCCTCCCTCCCTCCCTCCCTCCCTCCCTCCCTCCCTCCCTCCCTCCCTCCCTCCCTCCCTCCCTCCCTCCGCTCCCTCCCTCCCTCCCTCCCTCCCTCCTCCCTCCTCCCTCCCTCCCTCCCTCGCTCCCTCCCTCCCTCCCTCGCTCCCTCCCTCCCTCCCTCGCTCCCTCCCTCCCTCCCTCGCTCCTCCCTCCCTCCCTCGCCTCCCTCCCTCCCTCCCTCCCTCCCTCCCTCGCCTCCCTCCCTCCCTCCCTCCCTCCCTCGCTCCCTCGCTCCCTCCCTCCCTCCCTCCCTCGCTCCCTCCCTCCCTCCCTCCCTCGCTCCCTCCCTCCCTCCCTCCCTCCCTCCCTCGCTCCCTCCCTCCCTCCCTCCCTCCCTCCTCCCTCGCTCCCTCCCATCCCTCCCTCCCTCCCTCGCTCCCTCGCTCGCCGTCCCTCCCTCCCTCCCTCCTCCCTCCCTCCTCCCTCCCTCCCTTCCCTCCCTCCCTCCCTCCGCTCCCTCGCTCCGCTCCCTCGCTCCCTCCTCCCTCCCTCCTCCCTCCCCTCCCTCCCTCGCTCCCTCCCTCCCTCCCTCGCTCCCTCCCTCCCTCCCTCACTCCCTCCCTTCCCTCCCTCCCTCCCTCCCTCCCTCCCTCCCTCCCTCCCTCCCTCCCTCCCTTCCTCCCTCCCTCCCTCCCTCCCTCCCTCCCTCCCTCGCTCCCTCGCTCCCTCCCTCCCTCGCTCCCTCCCTCCCTCCCTCCCTCCCTCCCTCCCTCGCTCCCTCGCTCCCTCCCTCCCTCGCTCCCTCCCTCGCTCCCTCCCTCCCTCGCTCCCTCCCTCCCTCCCTCCCTCCCTCCCTCCCTCCCTCCCTCCCTCCCTCCCTCCCTCCCTCGCTCCCTCCCTCCCTCGCTCCCTCCCTCGCTCCCTCCCTCCCTCCCTCCCTCCCTCCCTCCCTCCCTCCCTCCCTCCCTCCCTCCCTCCCTCCCTCCCTCCCTCCCTCCCTCCCTCCCTCCCTCCCTCCCTCGCTCCCTCCCTCGCTCCCTCCCTCGCTCCCTCCCTCCCTCCCTCCCTCCCTCCCTCCCTCCCTCCCTCCCTCCCTCCCTCCCTCCCTCCCTCCCTCCCTCCCTCCCTCCCTCCCTCCCTCCCTCCCTCCCTCCCTCCCTCCCTCCCTCCCTCCCTCCCTCCCTCCCTCCCTCCCTCGCTCCCTCCCTCCCTCCCTCGCTCCCTCCCTCCCTCGCTCCCTCCCTCCCTCCCTCGCTCCCTCCCTCCCTCCCTCCCTCGCTCCCTCCCTCCCTCCCTCGCTCCCTCCCTCCCTCCCTCCCTCCCTCCCTCCCTCCCTCCCTCCCTCCCTCCCTCCCTCCCTCCCTCCCTCCCTCCCTCCCTCCCTCCCTCCCTCCCTCCCTCCCTCCCTCGCTCCCTCCCTCCCTCCCTCCCTCGCTCCCTCACTCCCTCCCTCCCTCGCTCCCTCCCTCCCTCCCTCCCTCTCTCCCTCCCTCCCTCCCTCCCTGTGTGTGCGTGGGTGGCGGTGAGCAGGGCACATGGAGGCGCTGTTTGATCAGATGTACGAGATCAAGCACGGGCTGCACCGCATGATCGTCGACCAGCGCTTCTTCCGCTCCCAGCTGCACCGCCAGCGAGACAGTACGCACGCACTGCCATGCACCACCACCACCACCACCGCGCAGCACCATGCACGCACCGCCACGCTTCACCACACACGACCACGCACCACCACCACATAACAACCACACCTCACTCTCTTCTTCCCTCTGCCCTGCCCCCCTTTCTCTCGAATGGTCCTTGCATTACTTATGAGGTGGTACAGTGGAAGATGCAAACACACAAGCTAAACAAACACGCAAACCGGTATCCTATCTATTCCCAGCACCTCTTCCTGACTCCCAGTGTGTTTCTTGTTTCATTCTCATTGCATTGGTCAGACAAACACACCTTCCGTCCTGTTGCACTGCCCTGCCCTGCCCTTTTCACATTCTCCACCTCTCTGCCTCCCCCGTCTCCCCCCCTCCTCTTGTTGAACGTTGTATCGCAACAAACCCTAACTCACGTTGTCAGCAAGCTACGCCACCACCTTCCCTTACTCACAGCCCACCACCCTGCCCGCTCACCGCCCTCCTCCTGCCGCCCACCACTCTTTTCACTTCCAGTTTCTTTCCTCGTCGCCCTCCCCATCATCACCCAATTTCCCGCCATCACCCAATTTCTCCATCACCCAATTTCGCCATCACCCAATTTCGCCATCATCCAGTTTCCCGTACACTTACCTTCTGCATGCGACCCTTGCTATTCCCAGCGACCTCCTTCCCCCTTCTCCCTCCCTTGCCACCTCACCTCTCCCCCTTCCCTCAACTTCCAGCCATCTTCAACACTCACATTCACTTGCTGCAGTTTGCAGCAACGTAGGCAGTAGTGCTCCCCTTCCCCTCTCTGCTTCTGTGCTTCCCCTTCCCCAACCTTGCCCCACAATTTCTTCTCCAGCATCCCCCGCCGCTCTCCTCCCCCGGTGCTGCAGCACACACGTTTTGACACATTCCAGAACCCCAACCCCTCCCATATCCCCTCTTGCCTCCCCCTCACTAAAACGCCCTTACTACTACCTCCCGTGCCGCAGCGATCATAAGCACGCACACGCGCGTGCTGCAGTTTGCAGGGGCGTGTTGTAGACTGACTGTCTGACTAATGACTCGAACCAACAATGTTTAGGGTTGCCCCCCATCTCACGCCCCGGTTGCCCCGACCCCGCTTTCCCTCGCCGCAGCGATCATGAACACGCACACGCGCGTGCTGCAGTTTGCAGCGGTGGAGGCGGTGGTGCTGATCCTGGCGTCCGCCCTGCAGGTGCTCTTCCTGCGCCGCATGTTTGACAACAGCGCCAAGCGCGGCTCTGGCCTCACTGGCCTTGTCAACCGCCGCAAGATGTAGAGAGAGATGCAGAGGGATGCAGAGATGCAGAGAGGTGGAGAGAGGTGTGCAGAGATGCAGAGAGATGTGCAGGGAGCTGTTTAGGGAGGTCTGGAGGGCAGAGAGCTGTGTAGAGAGATGCAAAGAGGTGCCGAGGTGTTCACAGATGCTGTTCTTTTACAAAAGGCTGGGCTTTAACTGAAATGTCATGTGGAGCGTAAGGGGGTTAAGATAAGAGATGTTGGGGGTGTTTAGTGAGGGAATGGAGACAGGAGGGGAGGGGAAGCCAAGAGGCAAGAGGAAGAGAGCATGGGGTTGGGTTGGGTCTAGTGTAGAAAGGCTGGATCATTGATTTGTGGCTCATGGCGTGCACCAGCAATTGCTGTTGCTGTTGATTTATTCAAAAACCGTACACTAAAACATTTTTTGCTATAATATACCTTTATTTGTAACTGGATGAAATTGTGAGCTCTTTGATCATTATACCACAGAACAATGAGAAAATCGATTAGTGTCCAATGAACCATGTCAAAACCTCAAGATCAGTGTACTGAAATCGCTGAATCGGGCCGGACCAGACCGGACCGGACCGGACCGGACCGGACCTACGTGCACCTGCGAAAGGGACAGCTGTTGCGTTCCGTTGCACCATATATTTCAAAGGAAAGGATTGCATGATTGTGAGCTGTGCATGCTTTGAATTTCATACAAGCTGCAGCTGCTGAACTGAACCACGACCAGGCGTTCCCACCTGCACTATTGCTCCTTTCCTCCGAAATGAGGTGTCCCCCCTCTGAAGGTCAATGATGGCAGCAGTACTGTACCAGCAGTCCATAATGCATGGATGGAGGCACTATTCATCATGACGTTGGGAGTGCCTGCCACTGCCTGCCGCTCTTTGTCAGTACCTACACCATGCTTGCTTCACTAGGCTCATCGCTGCTGCTGTCAGTTGGTAACCCCACCTAGGCTCACCTAGCCCCACCTAGCCCCACCTAGCCCCACCTAGCCCCACCTAGGCTCACTTATGCTCACCGACAGTGCCACTGCCTCTGCTTTCTCGGGTGCTGTCATGCAACCCCTGGGCCCTAGTTGGTGGGGTTCTTCCACGCGGTATTAACCTCTTCAAAGGCCCCCACTCACTGGCCATGCTTGCAAATCACTGAGGAGAAACGTCACCAATAGTGGCACACGCATACCCCAGGGCCCTGCCTGACGTGCCTCGTTGCCTCGCCTCCCATTCAAAGCCCCACTCCTTTGCCTCGCAGCATAACATTTTAGACTCGCAAGTGCTATTTCTTGTCTCGCTGCTGCCGCTCTGCCATTCCTGCTGCTGCTGCTGCTGCTGCTGCTGCTGCTGCTGCTGCTGCTGCTGCTGCTGCTGCTGCTGCTGCTGCTGCTGCTTCACTGCGGCTGCCGCTGCTTCACTGCTGCTGCTGCTGCTGCTTCATTGCGGCTGCGGCTCCGGCTGCTGCTGTTGTTGCTGGCCCCAGAGCCATCCAGCCCAGGAGAGGGGAGAGGAGGGGGTGGCAGGAGTGCGAGGCATGGATGCAGATGCTGACAACGCTGATCCATCACCTCCCTCTCCCCCCACTGCTCCTCCGCCTCCTCCTGCTGCTCCTGCTGCTCCTGCTCCTCCTGCTGTTCCTGCTGCTCCTGTCCTGACTCACTCTCACTTGCATACCCATGCACATCACCGCCACCTCCCCCCCCCCCATAACTCCCTGTAGATTCTGTTGCCGCCGCCGCCGCTGCTGCTGCTGCTGCGGCGGCATTCCGTAGGGCACGGCGAGAGGAAGGCCGCGAGGCGGAGCGGGAGGATGGGCGTGAGGAGGAGTGGAGAAACGGCATGGGTGATGGCGTTTCGTAAGCGAGGTCGGTCGGGGGAATCGTGATTTGTATGTCATGCGAGGGAGGTGCCATGGTGATGCTGTCGACATGTGGTGGTGTTGGTGCTGCAGCTGGGTCAGATGTGGGAAGCGAGGGAAAGGGGAAGCGAGGTAAAGGGGGAAGCAAGCGAGAGGGGAAGCGAGGCAGAGAGGGGAAGCACGGGAGATAGGGAGGGTGAAGGGCAGATGGAAAGGAGAATTAGATGATTGGTGATGTTGCACTGTGTATGTACGAGACACGAAAATCTGTGTGAATGTACGCATGTGCGTGTGCAGGGTGTGTGCACCAACCTTCAAGAAAAAAGAGAGAGAGGAATATATGTATTTGAAAAAGTCACCAACCAACACCAACCACCAACCAGCTCCCATCACCTCCTTAACAACGGCTCACCTTCAACAAGCGAGCCCCCATCCACGTCTTCCCTCCTCCCCATCCCATCGTCCACCACCACCACACACACCTCCTCTCCACCCATCCCATCCCTCCCTCCTCCTCCCTGCATACCCCTCACGCCTCCTCCCCCCACCTCCTCCCCTCTCTCCTCCTCCTCCACCACACCTCCTCTCTCGTCCCGTCTCCTATCCCCTCCATCTCCTTCCCTTCTTCTACCCACTGAACTTCGCCCCGATCCCCCTGTATAGCCCTCCTCCAGCTCTCTCAGTCGGGGCCAAGCTGGTTCCAGCCACGTTGCTTCAGCAAAGGGAGGACCAGAGAGAGGGAGAGGAGTGGAGGGGCGTGGCAGTGGGGTAGGAGAACCACCACCGCCAGCAGCAGCAGCAGCAGCAGCAGCAGCAGCAGCAGCACCACCACCACCACCACCGGCTGCAGTATCGAAGCCAAAAGCTCCTACCCTCTCCACCGCACCTAACCGCACGTAACCACCACGATCCCCCACCACACCTTCTGTTTCTTCATTTCCACTGCCGCCGCCGCCACTCCTGTTGCTGCTGCCCATATCCCTGCCACTCTCCCGGCTCTCACCCCTGCCACTGCTGCTGTGAAACAGTTCTCCGTCTCGCCCCTCCACGGACAAGTCTAGGGAGATGGCAGGGGAGCGGATGGGAGGGGGTGTTTCAGCCGCAACCTGATGCCTACCTGCCTGTGCGTGCAGAGCCAGGTGCATGAGAGATGCAGCCTGGGAGTCTAGCATTTCAGCTGTAGGCCGGCTCTTACGCCTTGTGCCTCTCTCCTCTTCCTCCTCGTCCTCCTCATCCTCCTCATCCTCCTCTTCCTCCTCTTCCTCCTCTTCCTCCTCTTCCTCCTCATCCTCCTCATCCTCCTCTCCCTCATCTTCATCACACTCTTTGCTCTCAGCATCCGGTACGAAACCAGTGCTGAAGCTGCCAGTGTCATGCCCTCTCGACTCCGAGTCGAGATCAAGAGAGAACGCGTTCTGCTGCTCCTCGTCATCCAGATCACCAGTCATATCAGCAGAAGCATCATCAGCATCATCACTATCGTCAATTTCATATTCGAAATCATCATAATCGTTCTCTTCTTCTTCTCTCCCCTCTTCTTTCTCCCCCTCTCCCCCCCTGCAAGACCCAACCTTGTCTCCTGTCATATTCTCTTCTCCATCCCTTATTTCCACCACCTCCTCTACACTCCCCTCTCTCCCCCCTCTCTCTCTTCCCTCTTCGCTTGTACCCTTTTTCATCCCCTCCCACTCGTCCTGTAACCTGCTACCTCGCTCCTGTTCCTCCTCTTGCCCCCTCGTTCCCTTTCTCCCATCACCACCACTTGCATCGTCCCAAACACCAGACACGCCTCTTCCTTCGCCCTCCCACTCCCTCACTCCTACACCCACCTCCTGCCCATCCACACGCACTCTCTCAACCCTCTCAATCCTATCAAGCCTCTCATACATATCAGCCGCCTCAGAACCACGCCCTCTCTCCAATGCTTCCCCTTCCCGCACTGCCGACGCCAACTCATCCTGCTCTGCCTCCCTCCCCAAACCTTCCTCCTTCCCTTTCACCTCATCCCAACCTTTCCTCCCCTCTCTTCCTCTCCTCTCGACTTTCCCCTCCTTTTCTTCCAAAACCGTCCTCCCATCCCTCCCCTCTCTCCGTTCCTTTTCTCCCTCCTCCCTCCGCTTCTCTCTCCATCCATCGTTCCCTCCTGCATCTCTTGGATCCCCTCCATCCCTCTCATCCCTTCCATTCCTACCAGCCCATCCTCCCATTTCACTAACCCACGCCTCCTCTCCCCTCTCTCTCTCCCCATCCTCCTCAAACAATCTCCTCCCTCCTCTTCTTCCTCTCCTTCCACCCTCCTCACTCGCCCTTCTCCTCCCCTCCTCCTCCCTTCCCCCCCATCCCTCTTCTCCCAACGACCCCCTACCCCTCCTCACTTCCTGCTCACTTCCCCTCTCTCCCCTATAGTCCAAACCCCCTCCCCTTCTCAGCTCCACCTCCTCCTCCGCATCCACAAGCCTTCTCCCCTCCCTTCCCCTCCGCACCTCCCCTCTAACCCCCCCTCCCCCATCTCTCCCGTCACCCACCACTTGCTGAGCAGCATAATACGGGTCAGCATGACGAGAGGAAGAAACTATGTGCGACCGGACGGGGAATTCGGGCTGGGGAGGAGCAACAGGAGTCTGAGAGGAGGAGGAAGAGGAGGTGAGAGAGGATTCGAAAGGGGTTCCTCTTGGGGGGTTGAGAGGGGCGGGAGATGGGGCTCCGTTGGACGAGAGGGGACTAGGGAGGGGCAGCGAGGGGGAGTGCAAGGGAGCCTGGAAGGCATTCTGGTTTGGGGAGAGAAGAGAATGGCTGTTGGAAGAGGGATGAGCTTGGGAAGGGAACAGCACGTGGCTGTCAGTCGCAGGGGAGGATGGCAAGCTAAAACCCGCAGTGCTGCTGCTGCTCGTGCCTGTAGTGCCCGTGGTGGTGTTACTGGTGGTGGTTGTGCCGTTCTTGTTGGTGGTTGTGGCGTTTGTGTTAGTGTTGCTGTCGGTGGTGGTGGTGGTGGTGATGGCAGTATCCCCGCAGTCGTCCTCGTGTGCGAGTCGGCGGATGAAGGAGTTGCGCTGCTGGAAAGCCGGGCGCTGCTTGGGAGTCACAGACAGCGGCGCTGCCTCCACTCCTATTTGCTTCAAGTAGCGCGACCGAGCAGACAAAGCAGACGGAGCAGCCGAAACTTGTTGCTCCTGCTGCTGCTGCTGCTGCTGCCGCCACTCCTGCCGCTCCTGCTGCTGCTGCCGCTGCTGCTGATGGTACAGCAGCGCACCTGTGGTCGCCGCTTTCTGATAGAGCGCCGCAGAGGGGGATGAAGGGGAGGAGGGAGACGAGGGAGACGCGGGAGTTTCCGGCAGCAGTGGGGATTTCGGAGGGAGCAGGGCAAGCGAGGGGCGGTGGTAGTGGGACGGGAGGGAGGCCTGAGAGGCCATGGTGCGGTGGGTGCGGGGAGGAGGGAAGGCGGAGGGGTGTGAGGGCGAGGAGGAGGATCCTGTAGAGAGGGACTGGAACATGTGGGCTGTGTCTGCTGTGTCTGCTGCTGCTGTGGAACTGGAGAAGTTGTGGGAAGAAGAGCGGTGGTGGGCGGGAGCGGGGTTGCGGGAAGGCCGGTGCATAGGAGAGGTGTCACGGCGCGGGTGCAAAGGTGAGGTGGTGTCCCGAGCAGGGGAGGGAGAGGGGGCGTTCGAGGGAGGGAGGCCGTAAGGTGAGATGGGGCGAGCAGCAGTGGGGTTCGAGCCGTGGTGAGGAGGAGGGGGTGACTGACCAGAGGAAGGGTTGCTGGGGAACGAGGAGTGAGGGGGAGGGCGGGAGGGCGGAGGTGAGGCGGATAGGAGGGGCATTGGGTGCTTTCCTCCTCCCTTGACTTCCCCATCCCCTCCTCTTCCTCCTCTTCCTCCTCCTCCACCCCCTCCTTTTCCCCCTTCTCCTCCTCCTCCTCCTTCTGTTCCCCCTTCTCCTCCTTGTCCTCCATCCCCTCCGCCATCTACCACTCGTCCCCCAGGCCCGGGTAGTTCTGCCCCATCTGCCTTGTCCCCACCCAACCCCTCCTTCCTCCATATAGCCTCAGCACCTGCTGCGGCTGCTGTTGCCGCAGCTGCGGCTGCTCTGCGTCTGGCTGTGATGGTCAGCGCCCTCCGCAGCAACCTCTGGCTGCTTCCCTCCTCCCTGTCCGTCCCCTCGCTCTCGCCCCCTTCCTCCTCATAACTACCCCGCGAATCCCCTGCGTTTCTCGCCACCTCCCCGCTTTGCTTCCCATCTCTCCTAAATCCTCCTTCTTCCACTCCCTCCCCTCCTCCTCTTCCTCCTCCTGCAACAGTATTCCCATCTCCTGGTCCCGCACCTCCTTTCTCGCCACTTCCACTGACACCCCCGTCCCCATCCCCATCCTTATTCTCGCCCTCGTGTCTGCTCCCACCACAACTACCATTCCTGGGAAACCTAGCTGCAGCTGCTGCGGCACCGACACCAGCAACAGCAGCAGCAGCAGCAGCAGCAACAGCAATCGCGCCAGGAGCAGCACCAGGAGCAGCACCAGCACCAGCACCAGCAGGAGCAGCAGCAGCAGCAGGAGGAGGGGGAGACGGAGAAGCATGGGCGATTGAGGAACTATCTCTATCCCAGGTGTGGGAGGGAAGGCTCTGGTAGGTCTTGCTCTTGAGCCCCAACAGCCTCGCTTGTAGCTGTGCCTTTGCTTCCAGCCCACTCAACTGCCGCACAGCCGGAGCAGGATCAGTGACACTCGCGGTGGCAACACTACTGGAACTGCCGGCACCACCTTTCAGAACTACGCTGGGAGGAGCACCAGCAGCTGCTGCTGCTGCAGCAACGGCAACGGGGCCTGTGCTAGCAGGATCCAGGTGCTGATGCAGCAACGAGGACCGCTGCGGTGACAATTGCGGTGACAGTAATGGTGACTGTGACAACGAAGGGATATCCGATGGCATGACTCGAGGCAAAGAAAACGCTCGGAAATCCCCCGTGTTCCCTCTACCCTCTCCCGCTCTTCCTGCTCCTACCCCTCCTCCCCATCCTCCTCTTCCTCCTCCTGTCCGTCCTCCTGCTGCTGCTCCGCCCACACCACCACCAGCACCAACAACACCTGCTGCTAGTGCTGCTGCTGCTGCCGAAGCCACAGGCGAAGCAGACCGAGCAGAACCACCAAACACAGGAGCGTAACCCCTACTCAACCCACCATCACCACCGCTCCCACCAACCCCCCCACCTGATCCTGATCCCGCCGCCCCAATCCCATCCTCTCTCGTCCCTCCATCCGACCCTTGACTGCGCATTCCAGTGGCATCCCACCAGGCTCTTAGCTTATGGAAGCGCGCCCCTCCCTCTCCCTCTCGTTCCAACTGCTCCAATTCCTCAAAGCACAGAGGCAAGTCGGCAGCATCGGAGTTTGATGCTCGGGGTCCCACTGGTCTTAGCACTTCTCGAGGCGAGGTGGGAGGAGGGAGGGGTGGAGGGAGTGGGGGAGGGGGAGGAGGAGAGGGAGCGTGGCGATGGCGAGAGGTGGATGGTAGGGTTCGTGCACGAGCCGGGGGGTGAGATGGAAAGGGTTCCGATGGTGATTTTGATGGGGGGGATGTATCAGGACTCGACAGTGGTAGGTTGTCCACGGGAGCTGATTCTTTCAGTGCTCTTCGTTCCTCTGCTATTCCTGCTGCTGCAGCAGTGGCAACAAGAGAACCAGAAGCAGCAGAAGAAGTAGCAGTAGTGACAGGTGGAGTGGCAGCAAGTGTGGGGGATAAAAGGGCTGGGGAGGACGGATTGATAGGAGACAAAATTCCAAGGACTGATCCCACTCCTGCTGCTCCACCTGCTGCCGTTGATCCTCCTGCTCCTTCTTCTCCCCATCCTCCTTCACCTCCTCTTCCTCCTCCCACTTCTCCCACTCCTGCTGGTGCTGCCGCCGGTGCATGCACTGCTAAAGCAAGGGGTGAAGACCCGAGCAGCCTCGCAGCTGCTCTGATACCAAGCACATGCCGCGCAGGTGACGAACCACCAGCAGGAGACCCCGACGGTGCAGGAGAGGCAGCCAAGGGAGGGGTGAACATGGGGGCATTGGTGGAGAGAGAGGAAGAATTGGATAGAATCAACGCCTCAGGAGCATCAAACCACTCCTGCTCCCCCTCTTCCTCCTCTTCCTCCTCTTCCTCACCCAATGGGTACAGCTCTTCCTCCTGGCCCTCGTCCCCTTCCTCCTTCTGGCCCAATCTTCTGTCCTTCTCCTCCTCCTTCGCCTCCTCCGCTGCAACAACACGCTCGGCTTTCCCCTTCTCAACGCTATCTCTTCCCTCTCTTCCTTCCAGAACCCTTGAACCACCATTCGGATTCGCATCACTACCCCCAATCCCATCCTTATTCCCGCTCCGTTTCCCATCCGCATTCCCATCCCCAACCCCCTCCCCAGCAGCACAACCAGCAGTGCCCTGCCCAGTTCTCTCACCCTCCGTCATGCAACCTGCCCTACCCCCAAGATTAACCAGTGCTGCTGCAGACGCAGCAACAGCGACTGTGCCTACTGCTGCTGCTGCTGCTGCTGTACCCCCATCTGCACCTGCTGCTTCTGCATCTGCTCCAGCTGCTGCCCCTCCCCCTGCTCCTGCTGCTGTTGCTGCTGCTACCTGTTCTGTTGTTGTCAGAGGGGGAGGAGGAGCACTGGTGGCGGCGACAGCAGCAGCAAGGGCAGCAGGAGAGGGTTTCAAGGGCGTGTGCCGTGCTCCTATGGGCATGCTGCAGGGAAGGGCGGAAGGGAAAGGGAGAAGAGGGGAAAGGAAACGGAGGTGGAAGGGAAGTGGAAGGGAAGAGGAGGAGGAGGAGGAGGAGGAGGAGGAGGAGGAGGAGGAGGAGGAGGAGGAGGAGGAGGAGGAGGAGGAGGAGGGGGAGGAGGAGGAGGAGGAGGAGGAGGAGGAGGAGGAGGAGGAGGAGGAGGAGGAGGAGGAGGAGGAGGAGGAGGAGGAGGAGGAGGAGGAGGAGGAGGAGGAGGAGGAGGAGGAGGAGGAGGAGGAGGGGGAGGAGGAGGAGGAGGAGGAGGAGGAGGAGGAGGAGGAGGAGGAGGAGGAGGAGGAGGAGGAGGAGGAGGAGGAGGAGGAGGAGGAGGAGGAGGAGGAGGAGGAGGAGGGAGGAGGAGGAGGAGGAGGAGGAGGAGGAGGGGGAGGAGGAGGAGGAGGAGGAGGAGGAGGAGGAGGAGGAGGAGGAGGAGGAGGAGGAGGAGGAGGAGGAGGAGGAGGAGGAGGAGGAGGAGGAGGAGGAGGAGGAGGAGGAGGAGGAGGAGGAGGAGGAGGAGGAGGAGGAGGAGGAGGAGGAGGAGGAGGAGGAGGAGGAGGAGGAGGAGGAGGAGGAGGAGGAGGAGGAGGAGGAGGAGGAGGAGGAGGAGGAGGAGGAGGAGGAGGAGGAGGAGGAGGAGGAGGAGGAGGAGGAGGAGGAGGAGGAGGAGGAGGAGGAGGAGGAGGAGGAGGAGGAGGAGGAGGAGGAGGAGGAGGAGGAGGAGGAGGAGGAGGAGGAGGAGGAGGAGGAGGAGGAGGAGGAGGAGGAGGAGGAGGAGGAGGAGGAGGAGGAGGAGGAGGAGGAGGAGGAGGAGGAGGAGGAGGAGGAGGAGGAGGAGGAGGAGGAGGAGGAGGAGGAGGAGGAGGAGGAGGAGGAGGAGGAGGAGGAGGAGGAGGAAGGAGACGTATGAAGGCCTAGACCCAAAAGGATGGATGGATGCTTTGCATGCATGATTGCTTCTCGTGTTTTGAATGTGCAGTGCATGGGAAGCACAAAACGAAGACGTTTAGAACCGTGTGCAACTATCAGTACTACCACAGTCACAATCCGGAGGACGACGAGATCGATCGGTCACAACGAAGCGACTTTTGAGGCGCCTCAAAAGTGAAGACTTTTAGAACCGTGCGCAGCTACCACCACAGTCACAATCCGGAGGACAAAATCGATCGGTCACAACGAAGCGAGGGAGCATTACGCAAGAAGATCCGATTGGGATACACAAAAGGATTGTCACAAACAGATGAACTTACTCACCTCCCAATAGGCGGCAGACACTGTCCCCTCTCTCCGCTCCCTTCTCCCCTCCTAACCCCCCTCCCATCACTCCCCCCTTTGCCCCACTGCTTTGCTGCCGCCCCGCCAGCAGCAGCGCGCGAGGAGAAGCGAGGGTG